ATGATCTACTCCTGAAAAACCGGCTGCTGAAAACCCCACAGCGCCCACAGTTCTACCATGACACACACGGGCTCGCCATGGTGGGAGCTAACTCGGCGGCACATGGTTCGGTTTTGGTTTATATACAACTACTATTACATAAGGAGGGAGCTGTGGTGGCATAGTGCCTAAGGCACCTGACTGCTAACCAGAAGACTGGCGGTTCAAACCCACCAGCCACTCCTCGGAAGGAAGGCTGGGCAATCTACTTCCATAGGGATACTGCCTCGGAAACCCAAGGAGGGGTCACTTTGAGTCGGGTCCGACTCGATGGCACATAACAACAATAACAACAACAATTACATAAGGAGGGAGCTCTGGTAGCGTAGTCCCTAAGGCATTTGACTGTTAACCAGAAGGATGGCAGTTCAAACCCACCAGCCACTCCTCAGAAGGAAGACTGGGAAATCTACTTCTGTAGTGATACCGCCTCAGAAATCCAAGGAGGGGTCGCTATGAGTCAAATCGACTCCAGGCACTGAGTTTGTTTTTTTTAATTACATAAGGGAAGTATCAACTTTTGTTTAATAGGGCTCTTCATACTCAAAAAGGTGAGGCAACACTGATCTAGACCAACCCCCTCATTTACTGATGAGGTCCCAGAGGATCTTGAGAACATCCTTCCAATGCAGACATTTAATTCAGACGAAGTTCACAGTGACAGCTCCTTCCCTTCTCTGATGCCCTTTCCTCTTTTTAAAGGAAGGAAAGTACACTCCTACCCTCGCTCTCTGGATAACTATCAGGAACCTGTCATATTTCCTAAGCCTCTCCTTTCCCTTGCCTTCCCCTGACGCCCATCCCAAATCTGCAGTTTGGTATATTTAGGGTTAACACCACACCCATTCCTTCCAAGCTTAGATGATCTGAAAGTGCCCTCAGACATTAAGTCTCCATATGAACTGGAAATACACTCACCAAGGTACTAAAACAAGGCATGGGTTAAATATGTATAACATACATATACGAACAAATGGAGTTTACAGCTCAGTCCCCTGTGCTTCTAGTATCTGTGGAAAGTAAGTGAAATAGTCATGAAGAGTCATTTTATTTACTTTGGATCAACACTAACAGGTTGTTAATAAACCCTTAGCATCCCAAGTTTTAAAATGCCTTCACATCTATTATTTCAGTGTACTGTCCTGATGGCTCACTAGGAAGTAAGTGCTACTAGAATCTAAGGGTCATGAAGAGAGGAACTGCTATCTATTTTTGTCACAGAAATCTCCCCAGTGCACATTCTAGGCATGCAGTGAATACCTGTTGAGTGAATGACAGAAGTAGACAGGGATGGTAATTTTATTTTTATTTGAGAAAAGAGACTGATTCTGTAAGAAAAGAACACCAATGAATTCTAATAATCTTTCTATAGTCTTCAATCCTCCTATACCATTTGATTTAACAGCCTTCCCTCAAATATTTTCTGTGGAATTTTTCCAAGTTATACAAGTAATATATTCATTTCAGGAATCAGATACTACCTATATATAAAGGAGAAAATAAAAACTTCATGATCCCATAACCCAAAGACGACACAATTGATACACTGATGAATAGCCTCTCAGAATTTATTCTGTGCATACGTGCACATGCACACACACATCTGACACTCCCAAGACCATCTGCCCTAGCCTCCAGGACTTGGACTACTTCCTTTTTCTCTAAGCCCTTTTATTTCCTGTTATTATTCTTTGCTCTCCTCCTAGGCCCTTAAACAAACTGCTTCCCTAATATTTAAGTGCTTAGCTCAACTTTTTCCTCCAGAAGATTTCTTATTTCAACTCCAGAACTCCATGTGGATGGCTTAAACCTGAATCTTCCACCTTCCCTTTTCTGTGGAATACCATAAACTCAGACTCTACACATCCAAGACCCAGCATATCAGATTCCCTCTATCTATACCAAAGAACTCATTTATTCCATTCTGTCAACTTCAAGAGAATTCTAAGAGTTATCCTCAATGGAGTCATCTTTGCTTCTGTAACCTCACAACCAATTACTTAAAATCTGTTCCATCCTCCTCTCCTATTACTGTCTCTCTCATCTCTTCCCATTGCTACCATTGCTAGTTTAGGCTTTCACATCTATATTAGTTTCTGCTTGGATCTCCTGCCTTCCGTATAACCAAACACTACTCCTGTCAATCCTAACCACTATTGTCAGTTAACTTCCTGAAACACAACTTCCATCTCGCCCATCCTATCTTCAGAAATTTGTGGTTGTTTCCCATTGGTACTCAAGTCCCTACACAATCTAGCCTCAGGCCACTTTCTCATCCTTATTGCTCATTACTCCTGAAAACAAGCCATTGGCTCCAGTTGGGCTGGTGTGCCCATGTCTTGGTTTTTTATGCTGCTGTAACAAAAACACCACAGGTGGATGGCCTTAACAAACAGTTTATTCTCTTACAGTTTAGGAGGCTAGAAGTCTGAATTCACAGTGCTGGCTTTAGGGGCCAAGTGAAGGTCCCTCAACCTTGGGCTTCAGCTTTGCCTTTTGTTGCAGGCCCACTGGAGGTTAAGACATCTCCTAACTCAGACAACTGCAGGCTACTCAGGCTGACGAACCCAAGGTCAACAGGTAAAATGGCACGGTGCCAAGATCAGCAGGCAACAGGCCAGGCCACTGGTTCCAGTCCAAGAACTAGAGATGAGGACTCAGACAAATGCAGGATCCAGAATGTGCCCCAAAGCTAGACACCTTTCTCCAACCTTCACCACATATACTTGAGGCAGGCCACACCCCAAAGGCAACTTCCCCTTCAACTGATTAGGTACTCACACCAGATTCTGCCACAGAGGTGATTACAGTCTCATCATGGGGAATAACTACATCTAGCTACCAAACCACTCAAAACCACGGCCCATCCAAGTTGACACACAACCTTAACTGCCGCCGCCCATTAACTTAAAAACATTTGATGGTCACGCACTTTATGAATATCTATTATGTTGAAAGCAGCCCATTCACTCTTTCCATAAATATTCATTGAACATCTATTCTGTAAGGTAACATACTAATGCTGGGGACGCAATGGTGAACAAGACAGACCAAGTCCTTGTCTTCCTGGAGTTTAGAGGTCAATGGGTTATAGAGCGGAAACACTCAAGACATGGTGGTTCTAGGCCAAGATACCTCCAATCTTCCATTCAAACGTCCAGTAAGTCGAGATAACCCTGAGGGCTGAACATTGGGGTCCAGGCTGCAAGTGAGGCAGGAGTTCAGGAGAAAAGAAGGGCTGGCAGGGTGAATGCATGTGTGTAATATGGCTTCTCTGAACATGTGGGACTCAAGTTGAGCATTAGAGGATGTGCGTATGAAGGAAGTGCCTCCTATCCAGGGGGATATGAGAAAAGGCACAAAGGTGGATGGAAACAACAGCAGTACTGGCTTACTGTGTATGCGTGTTCATTCAACACCCAGTCAACAGAGAATACACACTCCCCCTGTGGAGCTCGGGCTCTGCAGTGGCTACAAAGATGACTGAGACTCAGCTTCTAACTTTAAGGATTTCTGTCTAGCACAGAAGACAGTCCCATAGTGATCATAACACCACAGAAAGTAAGATGTACCCCAAGAGAGATTCAGAGAGCACAGAGGGTTTTCAGAGGAATGTGCGTCTGGGTTCGATGGTATGTGACACTGAGTCAGACCCGACTCATAGCGACTCCTCCTTGGGTTTCTGAGCTGGTATCACTACAGAAGTAGACTGCCCAACCTTCCTTCCAAGAAGTGGCTGGTGGGTTTGAACCCCCAGCCTTCTGGTTAGCAGTCAAGTGCCTTAGGCACTATGCTACTAGAGCTCCTACGTATTATATACATATACTGAAAACAACTAGCCTTTTTCAAAGTGTTTTGACCCTAATGTTCTCATTCCATCTTAAGTGATTTGTGAAGCAGGAAGAGTAGTTAGATTTGCTTCCCAGTTAAGCAAAATGAAGCAAAATATTTCAACATCTGCTTAGGTCAGGCACACAAACAGGCAGGAGGTGTAAACCAGGAAGAGCCTGTCCCTCTGGGTCCATTCCTGCAGAAGTATCTAGAGCAGTGGGTGCCCGTGAAGTTCTCTGAGCGCCTGTCACGGCTGGCAGGCAGTGACCCACACAGGCAGTGTGGACTACACGGGCAGCTCTGAGGGTTTGAGAGGGAACATGACCCAATGACACTTCCACTCCCACTCCTCCTCCTCAAATCTTTCCTGTGTCACCCCGACCCCTAGGCCTGTCCAAACCCTCAACATCCCGAAGGTTCACCCCAAATACTTCCGGCCTACACTGTTTTTTTCCTTCCACTGATCTTCCAAGGGCGAGCGCTTAGCTGTTCTGTCCAGGACGTCACGGTCTGCCCAGCCGAGCCACACTGCTCGCCTCAAGGCACGGCGTCAACAAACACCGGCTGGGTGAAAGAATTCCTCGGGCCTCCACAGGTAGTAAGGACACCCCGAGATCTTACACCCCTGTGTGACAGGCGGCCCTCGAGGCCCAAGGGGTTCCCTAACCGCATGAACGAGGGAAAGGCGGGGAAGACAGGGTGGCCCGAGTCCCAGGGCCCCAGGAACCCGGCTCTCCGCCCGAGGCTTGCATCCCCAGCTGCGAGTCGGGGCTAATGCTTTGCCTCCGCGGGGAGGCGAGACGCAAGCTCAGGTCAGGGACGTGGAAGCGCTTTGAAAACGAAAAACAGCTTCGTGAGATCGTTCAGTGTTTCCCAGTCTGGAAAACAGTCGGGAGAAAGTGATGAAAAACGAAACTGGGAAAGCCCTGACCTCAGGAGCCGACGGGACCCCGCCCCCGGGCCGCAGCCCAATCCCTCAGGGAGACCGCAAGGCGCAGGGCGCAGGGCGCAGGGCCATTGCCCGATCGGGGAAGACGAAGCATTTCCATCTCAGGAAGAGGCTAGGCCTGGCTGCCTCGCGAGATCTGGGGTCGGGATCTCGTTGCGTTGCCTAGCAACAGGGAGGACGCTCGCGGGCCCCCAGGCTAACCCCCGTTGTAGCCTTAAATCTCCTACCATGGGGGAAGAAGGCGGCGGCCGCAGCTGTGGGACCACTAGGGAGCTGCAGAAGCTGAAGCAGCAGGCGATGGAGTACTATCAGCAGAACGACGTTCCGCGCAGGCTGGAAGAGCTGCTCAACTCCACCTTCTACCTCCAGCCTGACGACGTCTACGGGCACCTGGTAGGGACCTGGGACAGACACCCTCTTCCCGCCAGCCCCTCTCCCCCGCCCCGCGCTGCCGCAACGCAGTGAGAGTCGCGCATGCGCAGCGTAGCCGCCGCGGGGGTGGGGAGGCCTTGGGCCTCTGCTCCACTGAGCGGCGACATCTGAGGCGAAGATGCCGAGGGTATCCGGGGGTCGAGGACGTTGGAGAGAGAAAGTAGTGGAAAGGAAGCAGCCAGAGGAAAGGGGACTGCACTGCGCCGCTTAGAGGATTTGTAGCTACAGCGAGAGCTCAGGGCCTCGCTACCTTCGGGCGGGCCTGCGTGTCTGCCAGCCAGCTGCCAGCTGCCTGTTTCAACACAGACCTTAACACCGCGTAGCTCAGCTGAAAAACCCTCAACGACCATCCCTCCACTGATTGCGTTCATACAGGGCTGCGAGAGCAATGTTCCAATGGTCAGGTCTGTGCAGCGTTCTCTTCCTCGGAAACGTCGTGCGGCCTCCCCCTCGGATGCTGAGGAAGACCAGATCCCTTAGTGTGGGTTCCTGATGCTGGGCTCTTATCGCTCTCCTGCCCCTCCACACTGCACCGCCCACCATTCCCTGATAAACCTTGAAGTTTCCCGCTTTCTTCTGCTCTGCTCGTGCTATTCCCTCTCCCTGAAGTACCTGCCTCAACTTTTCCTCCATTCAACTTGTTGAAATACTGCACAATGTACAGCTCAAATGTGGTGCCTTCTCTCATTTTACCTTAAATTAATTTGGGGATGGAGGAGATCCCTATAGGGAATAACAATACTGCTTTATTCCATGAAACTGAGGCTTGAAAAGAGTATTGGATTGTGAAGCAAACAGTTTGTTGTTATGTGACATCGAGTCGTTTCCCACATAGCGACCTTTTGTACAACAGAACCAAACACCACCTGGCCCTGTACCAGCCTCAGCATCCCTACTGTACCTGAGCCGGTTGCTGCAGCCACCGAGTCAATCCATCTTGTTGAGGGCCTTCCCTTCCTCTTTGGTTGACTCTCCACTTTACCAAGCATGACATCCTTCTCCAGCGAATGGTCCCTGCCACCAAAGCAGGTGAAACCAAGTCTGGCCATTCTCACTTCAAGGAGCATTCCAGCTGCACTTCTTCCAGGACAGATTTGTTAGTTCTTCTAGCAGTCCACGGTTCTTTCAGCACTCTTCACCAACACCACAGCCCAAAAGCATCAACTTTTCTTCAGTCTTCCTTATTCATTGTCCAGCTCTCACATGCATATGACGCGGTTGAAAATACCATGGCTTGGGTTAGGTGCATCTTAGTCTTCAAGGAGATATCTTTGCTCTTCAGCACTTGAAAGAGATCTTTTGCAACAGATTTGCCCAATGCCATATGTCATCTGATGTCTTGACTGCTGCTTCCATTGGCGTTGGTTGTAGAACCAAGTAATGTGAAGTCTTTGACAACTTCAGTCTTTTCTCCATCTATCATGATGCTGCTTATTGGTCCAGTTGTGAGGATTTTTGTTTTCTTTATATTGAGATGTAATCCATACTGCAGACTGTAGTCTTTAAGCTTCATCAGTAAGTGCTCCAAGTCATCCTCACTTTCAGCAAGCCAAGTTGTGCCATCTGCATATCTCAGGTTGTAATGAGCCTTCCTCCAATCCTGCTGCAAACAGATTTGGGTTTAATTCCTGGCTCTGCCACTTACTAGCTGTGGTAGAGTATTATGTTCATGGTGTCCAATGAACCTCCCCTCCACTATGAAAGCTCTTAAATAAGTCCCTCCCACATTGACTCTGAACTTGGCCATATGACTTGCTTTGATCAATAGGACCTTGGCAAACATGATTGAAACAGGCTTGATCAGTGCTGGCATATTGAGCCTTATTTTCTTGGGACACCCCATCTTACTTGGAAGCTAGTCATCAAGCTGTGAGAAAGTCCAGTAACTCTGCTGGAAAATAAGAGATTATGTAGAGAAAGACCCTGGCAGATCTGAGACTTCCAGGATGTGAGAAAGATTCCCATTCATCCATAGTTGTTCCAACTGTCCCAGCTGAGGCACTAGACATGTGAATGAAGCCATCTTGGATATTCTGGTATCAGTCAAGTCTCCAAATGACTCTATCTGCATAGGAGACCCTAGCAGAAGAATCACCCAGCTGAGCCCAGCCCAGATTGCAGAGTCATAAGCAAATAGATGATGGTTTCAACCACTAAGTCTTAGGATGGTCTGTTATATAGTAATAAAAAACTAGGACACTGGCTATGTGATCCTGCACAATTTAATTCTCTAGAACTCAGTTTACTCATCTGTAGAATGGAGATGATACCACCTACCTTACTGAGTTGTTTTGCAAATTTAATGACAGATTGTACCAAAAGTGCCCAGGGATGTGTCTGGCATTTATTAATGAATACAAGATTTATGGAATCCCTGCCAGGCACTGTGGTATGTGATACAGTAGTGAACAAGACATAGTCACTATTTTAAGGTACATATTCCAAAACAACAAAAAAAAAACTCACTGCTATTGAGTTGATTCCGACTCATAGCAACCTCCTTTGGGGTTCCAAGGCAGTAAATCTTTATGGAAGCAGATTGCCCAGTCTTTCTTCCATGGAGTAACTGGTAGGTTGGAACCGCCAGCCTTCTGGTAAGCAGTCAAATGCCTTAGGCACCAAGCCAAGAGAGCTCCTTAAGGTACATATTAAGCACTCAAAAAATGTTAGTTTCTTCCCCCTCCTAATACAATATGTGGCACACTAGGTGTTCTACACTTGTTGAACTGAACTCACTATTATACACAAAAATGGGAGTTAGGTAACATTTTTCATATTCCATTTGTTGTTAGGTGCTGTTGAGTTGGCTCCGACTCATAGTGACCCTATGTACAACAGAATGAAACACTGCCCAGTCCTGTGCCAGCCTCACAATCCTTCCCATACCTGAGCCCAATACATTGCAGCCACTGCATCAGTCCATCTTGTTGAAAGCCTTCCCCTTTTTTGCTGACACTCCACTTTACTAAGCATGATATCCTTCTCCAGGGAATGGTCCCTACTGACAACATGACCAAAGTAGGTTAGACCAAATCTGGCCATTGTCACTTCTAAGGAGATTCTGGTTGCACTTCTTCCAGGAGAGATTTGTTTGTTCTTCTGGCAGTCCATGGTACTTTTCAGTATTCTTTGCCAACACCACAACTCAAAAGCATCGACTCTTCTTCAGTCTTCCTATTCATTCTCCAGCATTCACATGCATATAAGGCGATTAAAAATACTATGGCTTGGGTTAGGTGCACCTTAGTCTTCAAAGAGACATCTTTGCTCTTCAGCACTTCAAAGAGGTCTTTTGCAACAGATTTGCCCAGTGCAATGCATCATCTGATTTCTTGACTGTTGTTTGCATTGGTGTTGACTTTGGAACCAAGTAATATGAAATCCTTGACAACTTCAATCTTCTCTCCATTTATCATGATGCAGCTTATTGGTCTTGTTATAAGGATTTTCATTTTATGTTGAGGTGTAATCCATACTGCAGACTATAGTCTTTAATCTTTATCAGTAAGTACTTCAAGTCATCTTCACTTTCAGCAAGCAAGGTTGTGTCATCTGTGTATCACAGGTTGTTAATTCTTCCTCCAATCTTGGTGCTACACTCTTCTTCATATAGTCCAGCTTCTCAGATTATTTGCTCAGCATACAGATTGAATAAGCATGCCTATCTAAATTCAGTTAGGCACTCTAACATACAAACCTTCCTTAAAATGCTTGGCTGGCTTGAAAATTGGCTTTAGCTTTAGCTCTGCTTGACGCCACCACTGAGCTGGCATAATGCTGTGGGTGTTAGATGACTTGTTATCTGAGTAGAGTTTGTTGGATTTGAACTGAAAGATCAGATACCTGGTCTGCTAAGTGAAAACTAAGAGCCTAATACTGAGCTAACATTACTAACTAATAAAGAAGGTGAGGAAGGTGTGTCTTTACTTGTCTTTTTCCCCTTCTCTCCTAGCTCCTGCTCCTCTACACAGAAACTCCATCTTGGATCTTTTTATTAAGGCTTCTTGAATGGGCTTCCTACCTCAGCTGCATTTTCTTTCTTGGATTATTTCCAAATGGCTTCTGCTTTTCCACATCAGTGAAAGTGCTATTACTAAGGTCCCCAGCAATCCTCTTTGAACACCTAGGACTATGCATGAACTGGCAGTAGGTCAAATGCAGCTGCTGCAGAAGTTTTCACCATTATAGGACCAGATGCTTTGCCAGGGGGAATATAAAGCAGTGCACTGCAGGGCTTTTAAGTCTGAATGTTCTAGAGACCAACTAACATCTGCATCTTGGACAGAGAGATGCGTTAGAGAATTGAGCTGACTACAGGAAAGCTTGGTAAAGGGTGACACAAAACCAGAAAATGAACTCACTGCTGTTGAATCAGTCCCCAACTCATAGGGACCCCTCCTTGGGTTTCTGAGGCGGTATCACTACAGAAGTAGATTGCTCAATCTTCCTTCTGAGGAGTGGCTGGTGGGTTTGAATCGCCAGTCTGCCGGTTAGCAGTCAAGTGCCACCAGAGCTCCTCAAAGGGTGACATAGGGCCTTTAAATTAAAAAAAAAAAAAAGATACAAATTTTTGCTGAGAAACAAATTGCTCCATGGACCAGAGACTAAGCATCAAACTGAATCCAAATCTCAGTATGCTATGGAAGGGCGGTCCCACATAGCCACTAGACTGACCCTGGCCCCAGGAAAAGACAGGGAGAGGCTTGATAGAAATGGGAGAGTGAGTGTGAATGATTTTCTGAAGATAAATTACATGTGGTATTGTGATTTTTTGTTTCTTGTGTTAAAGGCAAACTGCTTTGCTGAACTTGCAAAGCCTCCCACCATATGCAAAGTGGTGGGGAAGAAAGTACTGGATGGATTGGGCCTTCCAACCCTACAAGTGGAAATATTTTGCATCATTCAAAATTTTCCCAAGGTATGAGGCAGCTTAAATGCATTCTTCAGTATGTCCTTGTCCCACTACATTTATTAACAACTCTTGTCTAGATTGTCACCATGACTTGGAATCAACTCAAAGGCATCTACCACCACCACCTTGTCTAAATTGTGGAAAATGATCTTAATGTTTTGAAATTCAGTGTTTGTGAAATAAATACTATTCATAGGTAGTCAGTATGGAAAGCCTGAATCTACACTCAACCATGATGGCTTTATTATCTTTAAGTGTAATTGTGGTATACACGTGACTCCTATCTGAAGATGAGCCAAGACAGAGAAAGGAAGTGAGGCAAACATAGTTTTAATTTCTGACAATTTCCCTGTAATCAATTCTATATCTAGAGATTTATAGATTCATGTATTTATATAAGTTCATATGGATTTATAGATATGTAAGCTGATCTACATAAATAATTACGTTTAATGGGTTTTGTTGCTAATAGTGGTCTCTGTGCTTAGCATGCATATTTATTGTTAGAAATAATTTTGCTGTAGTTTCTTGGAGAAGAATAATTTGATTAAACCTGTTAATATATATTTTTAGCTATTTATTGGTGAGACAATGATAAAAATGAAGTTTAATGTAGAGTTTTTATAAGGGTATTTTATTTAACAAAGTAATAATTTTAAATGTTCCTTGAAGTTAGGAGTTCTGGTAGTGTAGTGCCTAAGGCTTGACTGCTAACCAGAAGGCTGGCTGTTCAAACCCATTGGCCACTTCTCGGAATGAAGGCTGGGCAATCTACTTCCGTAGAGATACTGCCTTGGAAACCCCAGGAGGAGTCGCTATGAGTTGGGGCCGACTTGATGGCACATAACAACATCTTTGAAGTTGGGTTCTACATTGTATCAACAGCTATAAACTCACTGCTGTTGAGTTGGATCCCACTCGCAGCAGTATCAATACAGAAGTAGATTGCCCAACTTTCCTTCTGAGGAGTGGCTGGTGGGTTTGAACCGCCAGCCTTCTGGTTAGCAGTCAAATGCCTTAGGCACTATGCCACCAAAGCTCCCATCAACAGCTACAGAAATATCTCAAAGAAAATCATATATTCTCATTTTTTCCTTGAAAGTCACGTCAAAAGCTAGATGAATGCAATTTCCTATTTTCTGTGAGAGGTAGGGACAATGTAGATACATGTTGTTTTCAGAACATATGTTCTGTGGTGATCTCGTCTCACTTTGAAGTACTTGAAAACGCACTGCCTGAGCTCGTGGAAGCGGAGGAACTGGAAAGGAGCAAGACCATCAGCACCGCTGTGCAGTGGGTCAACTACACAATTACTGAGGTGCTTCAGGGCATGGAGCCTTCCAACCAGGCTGAGGTGGATCAGTTGCTCAGGTAACTCTTCGCCTTTGAAATATAAATACCTGTTTACTTTCCATTTCATCCGCCAGTATAACCTATATGTAGGCTAGAGCTGTGAAGTCAATTTAAGAAGCCCCAAAATTTAGCATTATTTTTTTCTTCTGAAAACCTAGTTATTAAAATGTTACTGTGTAAGCCTACATTAGGCCTCTCGGCTTCATTTCATACAGAGAACCTTCCTAGGAGTCAGTGGAAAGTTTCTCAGGGAAAGGATTGAGGTAGGAAAACAGATGAGGTCCTTTCCGTCCCCAGATCCCACTTCTTGAGCTTCCCATAGCCTTTGTTGCAATAACCGTTGCTCATGGTTACATTCTGTCCTAAGGCACAACGGACTCTTCAGGCTTTGTCCAAAGATTGAGCCTAAAATCTGAAAACCAAGGAAGTGTTTACATGACTAGGGCTATGGAAGTTCTGGTCAATGCCCAACCAAGTAATTTGTTAGAATCACTTTTCCTTTTGTGCGGGTCTCATGCCATAGCCCGTTAGCCAAATGATGACCAAATAGATTCCTTCTCCTGAAGTGTCACCACCCGCTCAGTTGTACATATCACATGCTTCTGACTTGGAGCATGACTTTGGTAAAAAAAAAAAAACTTTTTGAGAGATTTTGTTTTTCTTGGAGGTCCTAAACACTATGCCTTTTACTTATTTATTTTTGTCCTTATTTACTATTATCATATTCTTTTTTTTTTTTTTTTCCCCAAGCTCCCAGTCAAGCCAGTCAACAATTCTGTTACATTCTCTTTTTTTCTCTTGGAGTTTTACCTCTCCAAATCTCCCATCTGGACTGGTTCCTCTCTTGGACAACTACATAAAATGCCAAAAAGACTTCCCTCCATGGTCTCCTGTTTTCCAGGCCCTGTATCTGCCCCCTTCTTGATTTGCTGGGTTATATCCTTTAAAAGTGAGCATGAGGAAGGGTAAATAGGATTTGAATTCTGAATTCTTTCACATGTGGGGATGTCTGAACTCCACCCATGTGGTTGATAGTTTGGCCAAGTGAAGGCTTTTCAGTTGAAGTCAATTCCCTCAGTACTTTGAAGGCATCGCCCCATTGGCATATGGATTATTATTAAGTCTGGGAGCTTGGGTGGCATAGTGCCTAAGGCATTTGATGGCTAACCAGAAAGCTGGCTGTTCAAACTCACCAGCCACTCCTCAGAAGGAAGGTTGGGTAATCTACTTCCATAGTGATATTGCCTTGGAAACCCAAGGAAGGGTCGCTATGAGTCGGATCCGACTTGATGGAAGTAAGTTTGGTTTTGGTTTGGATATAAATCTGATTCCCAGTTCTTTGCTATTTGTTTGCTTGGTTTTTTGTCTAAGGAAGCTTTTAGCCTATTACCTTTATTATAGGAGCTGAAATATTTTATGGATATTCCTAAGTAGGATTTCCCAAAGTTTTTTTTAACTACTTCTTTAAGACAAAAATTAATAAAGTCACAAAGTGCATATTTATGTCTTCAAGTTTTACTTTAAAAATGCAAACTGGGCTCAAATAATTCAAAAAATTAGCACCTAATATCTTCAAATTTATTTCACTTCTTTAACACTGTTTTATAACAGCATCATGTTTTGGTCTTGGCAGTTGAAGCTGATTTGTTCTTAAGTATCCCATTTTAACACCATCTTTTCCTTCTCTTAAGAACATTCTTTGAAAATAAACTGCAAGAAGATCAGGAGAGAAAAGAATTGGAAAATATGGTGGAAGACTCAACACTTTTACCTCTAGTTCCACCACCACCACCTCCTCCACCTCCTGCAAAAAAGAAAGGACAAAAGCAAGGTTGGTGGCTTATCATTTTGCGGAACCTTTAGTGACAAACGTGAGGAAGAAAGGCTGAAGCTTGGACTGCCTTCCTCAGTCAGTCTCTTTGTTATAGACTTAGGTTAGGTTCCCTACCAGGTGCCATCCATCCTCCATGCCACTTCCTCTCTGGAAGCTGTTGTGCTGAGTTGGCAGAGTTTCACCCCATTCTGTCCTCCATTATTTATTTATTTACTTTTATTTTTTGTGTGTGTGTGATTTGGGTGAAGATTTACAGAGCAAATTCACTTTCCATACAGCAGTTCACATATACTTTGTCTCATTGTCATTGACCACAGTTTACCACAATGCAACAGCTCCCCTCCCACTTCCTCCCTATACTTACCTCTTCCCAGTGTCCATCCCTCCATACTCTCCTGCCCCCTGAGCTAACTCCCTGTGCATAAGCAGCCCTTCTTTCTCCCATGATTGTTCTCTCCAAGGAGTGTATCTACTTGAGGTAAATGTTTAACTCATATGCCTATATTTTGTTTGGTTGGAAACCCATTTTTATTTATAAGATAAAAATATTTCTCACCCAGAGGTGAACACTTTCCTGATTGCATTGAACAGTGGCAATGCCAGGGAGTATGGCATAGGACATCTTTAAACAGCTCTCTGCCCCTAAATTTCTATGAACTTATAAAATAATGATAACCTTGACACAAACAACCAACATTCTCAGTCCTTATTAATAAAAATTTCTTTGTAAAACTTTGCTATTTTAAAGCAAATAATCTAAGTAATCACCACCCTTTTCTCTACCCCTTCCAACAGATTGCTAACCCAGCCCACTAGTATGTTAATTCTGGAGCTGCTGCTAGAATCATGGACAGTGTCTGTCTACCCAACTAGAGCATGCTCCTTGATGGTATGAATCATGCCTTGGTTACCTTGGCCTTACCAGTATCTAGCATGGTACCAGGCATAAACTAACCACTCAATAAATGTGGATTCCATTGAGTAAGAGAGGAGCTCTGGTAGCATAGTGCCTAAGGCACTTGAGTGCTAACGAGAAGGCTGGTAGTTCAAACCCACCAGGCACTCCTTGGAAGGAAGGTTGAACAATCTACTTCCATAGCGATACAACCTCAGAAACCCAAGGAGGGGTCCCTGTGAGTTGGATCTGCCTTGAGTTTAGAGTTTACTGAGTAAGAGAGGACCAGAACCAGTGACAAAAATGTCATGGAGACAAGGTTCCTTGTGTCATAGATTGGGATATTGAGGCCCAGAGAAGAGAAGAGAATTGCTCAAGGCAAAAGAATTAAACCAATCTTTTCTTGGGAAGGCAGGAGTGATTGGTACTGAGTAATGTAGTTAATGCCATCAACAGATGTTCATTTGGCTGTTCCTTTTTTTCTGATAGGACCTGGAATTTAACAGAAGGGAAGAAACAGGAGGAGACAGTAATTTCTCAGCCATTTATTATGTGCTAGGTGTTTATATATCTTACCTACACTGGAGAACTGAGCTAAGGCAGGAGCTATAGGGAAATAGAGGATGGGAAAGACACCAGAGATTTTATGATCAACTTAGTGGTACCTGATGAGGCACAGTAGCTGAGAACATATTAGAGTGAAACATGGGTAAGGATTCTAGGTGGATGGTTGAATCTGGGAGGCATTTCTAAAGTCAGCAACAACATAGAGCTAGACATTGGTTTGGGGTTGAGGAGCAGGATAGCAAGTTATATAACAGCTATGATGGGCCATAGCAAAGCAAAGGATTTGGAGTTCAAAGATGTCCAGATCCTGTCTTTATGTACTTCCTGTTAGATATTGGCTAAGGCTCTTATCCTCTCTAAGCTCCAGTTTACTTACGTGTGAATGTGAGATAACAAGATCTTCCCCAGGACTGCTGAAGGAGTTAGTCTTGAATGGCTTAGAATTTCTTGTTGTTGTTGTTGTTAAGTGCTGTCGAGTCGTTTTCGACTCATAGCGACCCCACGCACAGCAGAACGAAACACTGCCCGATTCCGCGCCAGCCCCACAATCCCTGCTATGCTTGAGCCCATCATCGCAGCCACCATGTCAATC